AAAAAACAACATTTTTGAAATAAACATGACTGTAAATATAAAAGTGTTGTGCAATACCTCTTCACATGTGCAATATACACTTATGTTTAATTAATAATGGTAATAATAAAAAAGCAGAAAATAATGCGAGAGAGCTGGGAGAAAAACTTCCACTACTGATGGGGTAATAAATAGTCCACATATCCTAAAAAAACATAAACAAATCATTCAATTTCCAATAGTTTTCATTATAAAAAACAAAATGTTTGCAATAAAAATGCCTGCAGTACCTCTCTACATGTGCACTATACACTTATGTGCAATTAATGCTGTAACGGCATAGATTTCCCCGCTGCGGGACAAATAAAGGATTTCTGAACAAACCCTTTTTCTAATAATTCCAGTCAAAAAGATGACGCTGTTATTCAAGGTCTCACAGTTGTTGAACAACAGCTCCCACTTTCACCATACTGAATCTAGTAAAGGACAGTGTAAAATGTAAATACCTTCTTGCCCTTCTTTTTCTTCTTGGCCGCCTTTTTGGTCCCCAGGGTGAAGGCGGGCTCTAAGCAGTCGACAACATCCAGGTCCCACACATCGATTTGGGGGGTCATGTTCCCCACAGCAGCGTAGTTACCTGACACACAGAGCACAGCAAGGTAAGGTAACAAACACAGTGGGACGTGCACATTAAAGGTCACCTATTATGCAAAATCCACTTCTTCATGTCTCTTCTACATCAACATGTGTCCCCTCTGTGTAAAGAGATTCTGAAAGTTTCAGGAAAAAAGATTCTCTCACTTTTTCTCCTGATCCATTTATATAAAAACTGAAAATGAGCTGATCAGATTTTGGCCACTTTGTGATGTCATAACGATTTTTTGGCTTGTGTAACCATTAGCCAATCACAAACCTCCTCCTTGAGCACCATTGTGTTCTTTTTAACCAAATCTCTCTCAGAGGGGCGTGGGGAGGGGCTCCTTATTTTCATCTGAAGTAACAGACAGAGAATCAGCACTTTGGAAACAGGGCTGAAACAGAGGGGATTATGGGATGCTGCAATGATCTGTTTGGTGTTTCAGCCAATCAGAGACAGGTTCTGGATATATCTGAGACCTATAATATATTGATGAAAAACAGTATAATAGGGGACCTTTAAATAGATCAAATTATATACTTTATTCTGGCTGTTCACATGGAATAAAACTGAATCTTCTTACCGGCTCCTTCTCCGGGGCTGGGGTCAAAGTTGAGCCACTCGATGCACAGAGGGTACGCTGGCAGCAGAATATCGTGATGGACATACAGAGAGTCCTCATCCGAGTTATAAACTGTAAAGAAATCGCTTGTTAAATATATATTTCAGAAGTATACAATATAAAACGCTTCAGACAGAACCTATACATATTCTAAAATTAACATTAGATATCAGAATCAGAACAAGGTTTATTGCCAAGTAGGTTCACACATATGAGGAACTACCTTGGTATATATGGTGCATACGTAAACACAAGAGAGGTAGCTTGTATACAAATGTGGAAAATATTAGGAGGGTTGTGCAGAACTGGCAATACTTAATGTCAGGATCAGATATGTAGCTTGTGTTCTTAGCGAGAGCAACAGTTTCTACAAAATCTTCCTGTGGCTTCAGAATATTCCATGTCATGTCACGTATGAAGATTTTCACCATGGATCTCTAAATTGCAGACGTCCTTCTCCGCCCGGCCGGTCATGATCAGATTGTCACTGGGTTTGATTTGGAAGTCTTCCCGCTCGTACTGGTCCTAAAAGACAACAAAGATGAACGTAAACTGAACATCTAAGCTCTAATTTCATGGTTTTTCACTTTGCTTTAGACAAATGCCTCGCATGCATTCAGAGGTAACGCAGATTCAAAATATTGACTTGATAAATGAAGGTAAATTACTTTTCTAACATCAGAAAAACCATATCAAATCATCTGTTTCCAAACTCTCACACAGTGTAATTCAAGTCTCATGTTTCCAGTGCTATGCTCATTACTTCCTAAAACACAAGCATTTTGGCTTAAACTGTTTGGTCTCACACTCTTACAGGCGTTGTACCGATCTGTGTGAGCGCTGTTTCTGAGATTTTGATGATAATGCTCAAGTTGTGTGTGTGTGTGTGTGTGTGTGTGTGTGTGTGTGTGTGTGTGTGTGTGTGTGTGTGGTCAAGGGATGTTTAAGATGGCTCAGTAACCAGTAGTGTAAAAATATTGCAATACTGGGTCGTTTAAAACGGTACGATAACACATTTTATTTGTATTTGTTCTTCAAGAAGTGTTTACATTAGAGCCACGTTCATGAGTTGCCTAGATGTGTGACAGCTGTGTGTGTGTGTGTGTGTGTGTGTGACAGCTGTGTGTGTGTGTGTGTGTGTGTGTGTGTGTGCGTGTTCATCTGGCAATTAATTGATACACAAATGATCCTTTTATAAGTCAAGTATTGCATTAAATACAATCCTGTACTGGAATACTTATTTGTACTTAAATTGAATAGAATTGCATAGCTATACTTTCGTCAGGCTACAGGTACTACTTGACATAGGACTATAAGGAATCAGTTTGCAGGTTATTTAAAGGCTCTTACTGTGTCTTTGATGGTGATGTAGGGATCCTCCTCGTTACAGCTGTACACTGTCAGCCCAGCCAGACTGTCGCCCAGATTAGAGGTGGCTAAATTGAAGACAACACAGGGTAAATATACAGAATGATCAGAAATGAATCTGTAAACACCTCCTCACTCACCTGCATCCTCATCATCATATCTGTCCAGGCCGTACTCTGCCAGCTCGTCATCATCGTCCTTTCCATCCTCTTTCTTCTTCTTTGGGACGGCAGCTACGTCCTCCGCTGTATTACCATCGAGATTATCTTCACAAATGCCTTCATCGTCGTCTTCCTCTTCCTCGGCTGCTAGTTCCCTGATTCAGCAGACAAACAAAGACATATGTTTCAGCTTGTCCTAGAATATAAAAGTCATATTTTGGTGTATTCGGACAGATTTTGAACATAGATTCCTGCAGTGAGGTGAATTGTGTTATTCAAACTTACCCAATCTCCTCCCTTGCTTCACTAATGATGCGCGCAAGTTCTTCTTGGCTCAACTCAACCTGAAATGGAATTAAAAAATAGTCTTTATATGCTCATTAGTCTCTGGTTAGATGCAATAAAAAGAAAACAGATAGGGTGTATTAAAAATAGTGTTTTCTTATGGCATGTGTGGTTACAGTTCTAAATATATAGCATATGCATATTAGATAAGTTAAATAAAAAAAACGTGCGAGTTGGAAAAAGCTTTGATTTAATAAGCAAGGTCTCCAGTTTGTTCTTAGCTCTTTAGTAATAATACATACCTTAATACATCTATAGATATTGCGTGATAGCCACCATAGAAAACACGAGACAGCAACAAACACACGTCAAGCTGTCACTCAATTCAATTAAAATAGCTTTATTGGCATGACCATAATGACCTACAGTATTGCCAAAGCTTTGTACAATAACGACATAATTAATATGCATTTGGAATGTGTTCATATACATTTTGAACATTGAAAATTCATTTATTAAACAAAAACACAACAGAAAAAGTTAAAAGTGAGTTATTGATAAGTGTGCAGGATAATGCTGATAGTATATTCCTATACTACATTATTAATAAAATACAAATAGGCCTACAAATACATGAAATGCAGCTTTCTTTCATTTCCCCGAGTAAGATTTTCAGTTTTTCAAATAATTGAGGAGGCCTGTTATATAAATTAGAGAAGAATTTGGAGCATTGTTTGATAAACGCAAGGAAACCATTACTCTTTTAATTCGAGTTTTTACGTTATTTCCTGGCATTTAAACCGAGTTAGCTCTCCTTTATCATCGGTAACTACTGTCACTAAACAACTTGTCTTATATTAAATTACACAGCAGATTTGATCTTGTATAAAGTGAGTAATTATGTCGTAAATCGTAAAGTTTGGTCTTTTAGACGCATAGCTTGAGTGCCATGTTGACAAATTAGCCTAGCTAGCTAACGGTTGCTATGTTACTTACTTTGTCCGGCGTTTCCTTGGAGACGCCCCTCGCTACCCATCCGACACAGGTAATCTGCGCACTCATTTTGGAGAAAAAATGTGGTTTATCGTTCAAAAACAATCAAATATAGTAAAACGTGTCCAAACTGTTTCACTCCATGCACACAGGGGGCGTACATGTGAGTTAGAAAGGGTCCTGCGAGCATGTGGATGGCGTCAAAAGAGCGTTAACAAATCTGCCTGATCAAAAATGTAACGTCACATTAGGGGTATTTATATATATAGTCTATGGGGTAGACATGTAAAGTAATACAACAATTACATCAAATGAATAGATTTTAAAAAGACAAATACAGTTTCATATATCAGATTAAATATGTCTTTCTTAAATCAGCAAACAGAAAAGCTCTGCACCAAAACACAAACTACATCCCCCTTTTTTAAAATAATTATTCTCTTTTCAATTATTTTTAATTTGTATTTTAATTTTATAAAAAAATACATTTCTTTTCAGGTTTGTTTTAATCATTTTATTGTATTACAAATCATTTTAAATTTGTTATATTGATTATTATTGTAATTATTTTTCAATTATTTTAATCAAACAATTGAAACGAAGGTGCACAACCAGTGAAAAACTGTTGGCCCTATGTGTGTTTTTTATACTCACAATTCATTAACAGAAATTGCTTAAACAGCTGTTTTTGCTCACCTTTGCTTCGTTTTAATACGGGTAAATTGTGAATACAGAGGTGAAAGGTAAAGTGGTAAATAAAACACAAGGACACTTTTTTTATAAAACAGTTTTATGGTATGATAAAACCAATACAGGACAGAAATGCGTCATCATGTATTGCTGGTATATGATATTGTTTACATACATGGTGGTTAAAGTACCATTGTATTAATCACAATGCAAGGCAATAATACAGCAGAGGCATTAATTTAAGATTTCAGAAAATGACACAGGAGAGGATTAAATGACTGGGTTGCCTTTATATCACAGGATATTACTTGCAGATAAAACATTGTGCAGGGCAGGAACTCTGGAAGTAAAAAGTGGTATTTGAGGCACATGTGGCTACAGGTGAGTCCATGTCTATTATAACCCCTTTATCTCATCACTCATGTAACATTGTGAGATGTCACCTCAGCTAACAGAAAAAAACATCTCCATTAACAATCAACATTGCATAGCATAGTGGTTAATATATAATAATACTGATATTTCCCGACAGCATTAAACTAAAACGATCACTCTGTCGTGGCACTTGTTGGTTACGCGTGTGATAAAGATTTGAGCCCCCAGCATCAATGGACGGACTGAAACACACAGTACTGATATAGTCAAGCGAAAGATGAAAATGGAAGACAACATTTATATTCAATGTTCAAACAAAAAAAACAACAACTGTAAGTCCATACGCTTTCTGAGGCTTTTAAACTATACTGTACTTTAAGCCGACACTGATGAGTCCTACAAGTGCTATCACCAGCTTGAGGTTGGTGTCGTGGAGGATGACCTGGGTCAGGTACTTCTGTCGTTTGATCTGCTCTTTCACCCTGTACGGGACGTCGGGAATCACGTAGGACAGGACGAACTTCGTGAGGTAAACATCTTAACAGTCACTGGGCTCACAATAACTAATAATATAAATTATAAACACAATAATAATAATAATCATCTCCATTTCCCCTATTTTGTTTGTGTTATTTAGTGTGAAGCTACAAAGTGTGAGACACTGTTTTGATTTCCCTTAATCTCTTTGCTGTGGCATCAAAACAAGATTGCAAAGAAAACAGCAACATTACTTAAATCTAAACAGATTAAAATGTAATACTGGATTCAGATCTGAACAAACAGTATTAAACTCAAACACTTAAAGCTAGTGAGTTAAAAAAGTTTATCCCACACCTTGTGCATTTAGCTATATTATCTTGGTCAGTCTAAGGAAGGTTTTTGTGAGTGTGAGGACAGTGGTTTCTCCTTTCTTTTTTCACTAGCGTCATAAATGAACTTCAGACGTCTTCTTTCCTACTGGTTACTACACAATAATGGATGGATTACTGGACCAAACTCTCTGTGGCCCCCCCTGTACATCACATACAAAATGTCCAATTTAAATTACCAACCTGGAAGACACTCAAAAGGACCACAAATAGACTTTAAAAAGAGGGTAAAAAAACACAGAAAGATCAAATGCAATGACAAACAAACAAAGAGAAACAAAACAAATACAAAGCGACATGTAACAACTAAAAAAAGGGATATATTAGCACATAAAAACAAGTAGACCACAAAGAGACAACGCCACAGAAAGATGCATAACGACTACAAATAAAAACATAAAAACAACAACAAGTGCCGGAACTCCCATAGGAAAGCTGAAGGGGCCTTTTTCATATCTGTGCCCAGGAGGTCATTGTTCATTTTCCATCACAAATGTCCATTCATTGTCCTAATTTGTCACTGGTTTACAAGGAAATAGTCGGTATAAAACCCCAGATGAGATGAAGTGCTAAAAAAACAGTGTATTCATTCATATATGTACAGTATGGTTTGATCTCTTCCTCCAGACGTTTCACTGTGAAAAATCAAGCTACATCTCTTTCCCTGTCAAGTTCACCTTCGCAAACTTGACCGTGCCGTCGTCCACGGGTATCAAACATCTCACCACGACCTGGGCCCGGTGCTTTTCTCGTCTGATCTGCTCTTTCACCCTGTACGGGACGTCGGGAATCACGTAGGACAGGACGAACTTTGTGAGGTAAACAATGTGCTGCGAGGGGGAAAACACAATCTTTTTAAATAAAATTACTAGAACTACATAAGACAAAGAAAAATTAGGCAACAGCAATTACGCGCACGCGCACGCGCACGCGCACGCACGCACACACACACACACACACACACACACACACACACACACACACACACACACACACACACACACACACACACACACACACACACACACACACACACACACACACACACACACACACACACACACACACACACACACACACTTCGCTGTTGGGTCTCCATTAAGATGTTTAAAGGTAGGGTAGGTAAGTTTGAGAAACCGGCTCGAGATACACTTTTTGTTATATTCCATGGAATGCTCTTAACATCCCGATAGCAATGAATATCTGAAGTGCTTTAACAAAAAATCCATAAAAAAATGTCATCTGTGGAAGCCGTAGTACTGTAAAAAGCACGACCAATCATTTTAGCCGGCCCGGCTAAAATAACTGGAGGCCTACCTGCCGGTCAGCCTTCCATCTGTGCACACACTTATCTCGTGCCCTCATTGGTCATGTGCGCGTTCGTGTGTGTTGGAGGAGGGGCTCTGTAAGGAAGTGGCAGATTTTCTCCGGTTGTGTATTTTCAAATTCTAGCAATCTCGAGCCGGTTTCTCAAACTTACCAACCCTACCTTTAAATTATTCATATTTTAATGATGTTTCC